CTTCCTTCCTTCCTTCCTCCCTCCCTCCCTCCCTCCCTCCCTTCCTTTCTTCCTTCCTTCCTTCCTCCCTTCTGTGGTACTGTAGGATTGAACCCAGATATTTGCACATGCTAGGTAAGTGCTCTACCACTGAGTAACATCCTCATTCAAAAAGGTCTTAATATTTGTGTGTGGTTAGGATAGCTGAGCAGGAGGTAGAAGAGGAGTAGGGCTAAATCTTCCACAGATGGAGATAGTTAGCTTAGCATATGGCCCTTTCCTAGCTCTGTAGGATCTTCCGAAACCTACAACAATTACATTTTCCAATCTCAACCTAAAAACATGGTCTGAGAGTTGGAAGGAATATTGCAAACTGGAACTGCTCCAGAAAGTCCAGGACATATGGACACCATATTCCAGCCCTCTTGGTGCTGGGAGTCTAAATGTAGAGATCTTCTTTGGGCTTTGTCCTTAAGTAGCCTCTGCCATCTGCTTTGGTTGACAGGTCTGCAGCTCCAAGGCTAAGTTCTCTTCTAAATGGGAGCATAGTGTTCTCTATTCTTTGGCTTGAGTATCATAGGTGGGTGGGATGGTATTGCTGAGGGTAAAATGAGCCTCTGGGGGTAGATACTGCTAGAGGCTAACAGGCCGTGGGACTCGCCTGACAAGTGACTGAGTTCCCTGGCTGCCAGGCCAATCAGGTGGTTACTCTTGAAACTAACTGCCAGGGGTCTGGTGTGACTACCACCCAGAGAGTCTCATTCATTCAACCATTAATTGAGTACCTACTATTTGCTATGCCTAGCATAGGAGCTATAGAAATATATCACTCATGCACCTTACTCACAAAGTGCCCATAGTTTGGCTCCTTGACACAAGAGGGTTGTTGGGTGAGGAATTGTCTTTGAGGTGGTTGATGTCTATTTCTACCTGTTCCTTCACTAGATCCAGGGACCACTTCTGCTTCTGCCTCTATTTAGATTTGCTCAGGGCCTGGCAGTGGTACCTTTATCTCCCTTCCTGGCTTCTCAGTGACTCTGCCTATGGGAGGGACCATTCAGAACCACTCTCTCCATCTTGGTCTGCAAAGGCTCTCTAGATAGTCAGTACTGTCAACTCCATTTTGTTTCCCTTTCTGTTTTGTTTTCCTCTTCCTTGTGTTCTTTTCTTTCCTTCTCCTTCTCTATTGCTCTCTTCTGTTCTCCTCCCTCTACCTTTCCAGCCTCCCCCAGTCCAGGCCCTGGGCTGCTCTCTGTAGCTGGACACGCAAGCAGCAGTGACAGAGAGCCAGCTGTTTCCATTCCTGTGCCAAGTTTTCTCTCCCCAGCCAGTGCCTGCCTGGCTTCCGATGTGGAAGTACTTTCCCTTTTCCCTTCTTCCTCTGCCTCCTTCCCGTCCTACCTTTGCTTCTGGGCTTCCTCCTTTCTGAAGCTTCTTCTCCTGGCACCCTCTGATTGAAGGCCCCTTCTCCCCTCGGTTGCTTACTTCGTTCCTGCCTGTTTTCCTCACTCTCATTCATTTTTTCCTTGCAGACACAGAAGGGTACCACCCCTCCTCCAGAAGGAACCATGACAATCCCTGGGACTTGTGGCTGAGTTGCAAGAGGGCTCCTTCACTTCCTGTGGGCCGTTGCCCTCTCCTTGCCCGGCAGCTCACCTCCCTGTCTCCTATAACTTTTGTGTGGTCCTTTTACCATTCATCATGACTGCTGCCTTTTGCTCCCTCTCAGTTTTTCTTCCCTTCTCGGGAGTCCCTTAGGCCTCCTCCAGCCTCAGAGGGTGGGGAGGGCGAGGCAGGGGAGGCAGTGTCTCTATATGCTTTTATCAATCACTTTGTGGTCTGTTCCTCTAGCACTTTCCTGCTTTCCACCTCCCCGCCCCTTCCTTCCCTTCTTCCTTCCTCTGTCTCCACCTCCCACCTGCTACCTCTGCCAGCAGCAGGCTTCATTTAGCCTTCCCCTTCCGCCTTCCCCTCCTCTCTGTCGCTGCCTCTGTAACCTGCCTTACCACCAGGGCCTGAGTGTAGAAAAAATAAATAAATAAATAAAAAGGTCAGTGAGTGGAGGGAGCAGCAATAACCCCTAAAACAGTACTATCAGTGGAACATGATTGATCAATTGAATTCCATAGCGGCTGAAAAATGTGGGATTAAGTAGTGTATTATACGCACAATGAGTTGAGGCATGATGTTCATTTCAAGTTCATTTCGCCGGCCTCTGCCACCAGATCAGGCAATCAATAGGGGCAGCAGATATCATATATCACCTCTCTGCGGGCTGGGGAGAGAGCACCATAATCTCTCGCAAATTTAGAGTGACAGATTTGTCAAGATCTGAAGGGCCCCTGAATAAATGAAGGCAAAGAGACTCCTCCAGCCAGTGACCTGAGGACAAAGCTTCAGTTCAGCCCCTACACACACACACACACACACACACACACACACACACACACACACACACAGAGGCATAGGGTAAGCCCAGCCACACAGAAGCATGTACACAAAATCTATACAGTTGCATGATGGCATTCTGCCACACACACACACACACACACACACACACACGCACACACACACCTAATGTGTGACATTCCACTCCCTAGGGCCTATTTGGTGAAACTGCAATAACCATACACAAAGTGCCACCTTCCCTCAGTTCTGATAGCAGGGAAATCAAAAAGATGGGAGGATCTGCAGAAGAGAGGATTATTAGGCACATTGGACACACGTAGATAGCTACAGGCAGTGAGTTCGGGTGATGCACATCATAGGAAAAGAAGCAGTCAGAGAAGAAGTTAGGGATATAGGTTCACACTTCCCTGCAGTCAGTCCATCTGTCTGTCTGCTTCTGTCTCTCTGTCTGTCTCTCCCTCACACGCACATTCCCCACCCACGTGCACATGGCTTTTCAGAAAGGCTATCATAGACCCTTATGTATCTAGATGCACAGAGAAACCCTCACAAAATGGGATAAAAAGGTATAGCACACTTCACCTACATGCAAAGACACAAACTATCTAAGACTAAAAGCCATTTTAGAATCTTACACAGAAAACAAAACTCCGATGTTTTGTGTTCTTAGGAACATGGGAATGCCTTCAAGGCTGTCTCTCTCTCTCTCTCTCACTTGCTCTCTCTCCTTTCTTGTCTCTTTTCTCTCCTCTATTTCTAATCTTTCTCTCCTCCCTCAGTATCTAGGACATCTAGACACCCAGACACATACACACACATACACACACACACACACACACACACACACACATGAGTTTTCCTATCCCTTGCACAACAGTGTGGGAAGACTGAAGTTTTTTGGTTTTGTTTTTGTTTTTTGGAAAGCAGGACCCCCTGCTCCATCTGGGAGGCCAGCAAGGGAGGATGGCTGCAGGTTGAGGTTAATCAATATGTAATATTTTCTATGGTCTCCGAAATGATACTGTACGGTGTTACTGTATATAATGCAATATTGATTATATCATATCGTATAATCACCTATAAACTGATATATATAACTGTCCCAGAGGTACACCCTGGGGCCTCCAGCATGGGCTGGCCCCATGCCCAAGGCTCACTAGCTGGTCTTCAGCAGAGGGAAGCCAAAAATGACAAAGTAGGGCTAAGCTGGGGGCCAGGAGAGTTATGGGATGGGGACTCAAGGAGAAGCAGCAGAGCAGGCACTTTGTCCACTGTATGTTTTGAAAGCTTTTGGAAGATAGGGTAGCAGAGTGGTGACAATGCCTGGGTAAAGCCTAAAATGGTAACAGGATTGATCAGTGGCCCCAAGAGAGCAGGCACTGTTGGGGTACTGCCAAGCCCCTCCTTTGTGGAGCATCTCGGGTCCCTGTGGAAACCCACAGGAAGTCCCAGGTGCCCGAAGAACTGGCTCCTAGCACAGGAGTGCACCAAAGTTCCCAGGGGAGAGGGGTGGCCACGGCACAGCTGTATGCAGGCCCCCTGTATTCTGCTCACATGGGTGCTCTGTAGCCCACATGACTCCTCTTCCTTCTGCTCTGTGTCATCTTGGCCCAACCTGAGCTGAGCACCTCAGCCTTGCTCTGAGATACACTGCCCTCCCCCACCCCTGCTTTCCAGGGCAGTTAATTACTTCACACAATCTCTGTATTACATTCAGCCTCAGAGATTTGATGATTTCAACCCTTAGAATCAGTGGAACTGAAATTCATCTCAGAGCTGAGTTCAATTCTCCACAGGCTTGGTAACGCCAGCCTGAGAACTCAGCTCCTCATCCAGGCTGAAATAGGATGAAGGGCAATGCAGTTCCTGAGGAAAGATGCCCTTGGGAAACAGCCCAGGGAGCCCCCCTGGCTCCCCTCAGCCCAGTCCCCCCACCCTCTGTGCCGTTACCCCTTTTCCTTTCTCTTCCCAGATCCTTTAGGGATCTGGCTTCTCTAGCCAGGCCTCTGAGGGAGGGCCAACCAGCTGGACCACTCCAGCTAGAGCCCATGAGCTGGAAGGACAGGGTCTGGCAGGAGTACAGATTCCTGGGGGTAAGAAACAGGCACTTAACCCCTTTGTCCCCTGCACTCTTCCTGTGTCTCTGCTGGCCTAGTGCTAATGCTCCAAGTATCCGTGTGTTCCCCAGATGTGTCTGAGGGCTCAGTCCCCAACGGAGACTCTCAGAGTGGCGTGGACAGTTTGCGGAAGCACCTGAGAGCTGACACCTTCACCCAGCAGCAGCTGGAAGCTTTGGATAGAGTCTTTGAGCGTCCTTCCTACCCTGACGTCTTCCAGGCATCAGAACACATCAAATCAGAACAGGTGAGGAAGGAGTTTACTGCTGGCCACAGAATTGGAGAGGAAGTGGGCAGAGCAACGCCTCTGGAGGACTTGCATTCCAAATACCCAGCACTTCGTATGTCGTCATACCTGTGTGGTGTGAATAGTCTGACACAGGACATCAGAGTGGAGTTAATAGAAATTATTGTGCTATATAGCAATGAGGAAATGAGGGGTTCTGGGCTCACACTTGTAATCCCAGCTACTCAGGAGGCAGATAGTGGAGGATTGTGGTTTGAAGCCAGCCTAGGCAAAAGCTATTCAGATCTCACCTCAGCAGCAGCAACAAACATGTGAATGGGGTGGTGGACACACCTGCCACCTCTATAGGAAGGCCTAAATAGGAGGATCAGGGTCCATGTCAGCCCAAGCAAAAAACACAAGACTCTATCTGAAACAGCAAAAATGGCTGTGGGGGAGGTTGGCTTAAGTGGTTAGAGGCCCTGAGTTCAAACCCCAGTACCACCAAAAGAAGAAGAAAAAAATGACGCGTTTCAAGTGATTAAATCTTATATCCATTAAGGGCCTCTGTTTCCCCATCTGTGGAACAAAGGACTTTGATACATGACGAGTCAGATCCCATCCAGTCTGTCATTCTGTGGCCCTAGTGAGGACCAGGGCATGACCAGGTATCTGCCTCTAAATCTAAGATGGTACATCTTAGTTGGATGAGCTCTTTAAACATAAGCACTTGAGGACTCAAACTATTCTCTTGCATGTTCCCTGGCTTCTACTGTCATGGTCTTGTAGAAAAATCTCTGGAGCTCCTTTTGCCCAGTGTCAGGAGGAAAGCTCACTGGTGGCCACCTCCTGCTACCTGGTCCAGATGCCCAGTGTGATCCTGGGCAGGCTGACAGCCTACTCTGAAGCCTTCCTACAGACACAGCAGAGACCAAAATGCAACATGCACAGAAACCCATTTCCAGCCTCTTATTTACAGGTGCTTACATACCTCCACCATTTGCCTGTACCCTTCACCCTACACAGTCCACAGTGCTCATGGCACAGCTCCAGCTGCCCCATTAGAGGCAGTAGCTACCCCATAGAGGGCAGGGCACCTCTTCTAGCACATGCCTCCACCCACATCAGTGTCGCCCCCGGCACACCCCACACATACAGTGATACCCTCCCAACCCTCCCACATCTATGGCCTAGGCCAGGCAGGCCTCCAACCACAGCACAACCCAGCCTGCTGTGCTCACACGCGCACCCACACACGTGTACACCAGCAAAGCCCTGCAGGATCACATAGCACAGCTCTGTTCTAAGACTCCAGCAGCTCCTAGCCACTTGCCTTTCTCTCCGCCTGTTCTTTTATCCCATAAGCTGTTTGTCTTCATAAAACAAAAATCAAAAGTCTTTTTAAGGTGCCCTGAGCCATAAACCAACAAAGGAGGAGCCGGCCAAGGCGGGCGGCTCGGTGCACCCTCCCTGAGTCCCCGGCTGTATTACAATGAATAACCTTTATTTACTTTCATTAGACTATTAAACACCAGCACAGTCATTTTTCCCCCTGAAACTCGGAGCAGGGCCCATAAAGCAAATCCGAAGCCTAATTGAGTTCATTTTAATTTCTCTCCGATCACAGCGAATTACTCTGGTGATAAATCAGGGGGCAGCTTCACCCCCAGTAGAAGGCCTAATTTGCAGCTAATTACAAAACTGATTTCTACAGGAAGATCAATACGAGAAGGAATTGGAAATGACGAGGCAATCCCATCCAGCCAGGGAAGGGAGGGGGTCCTCTGGGGGGGGGGACCCAGGAAGCGGAAGGGAAAAAAACAGACCCCGAAAGAGCAGAAAATCAGTTTTAATTTAACGTAATATTAATCAGAGCAACTTTTTCTGCTTTGTGTAGGCGCCTGGTCTGCCCAGCTCAGGGGTCTGGCTTGGCGGTAGCTGCAATAAAAAGGCAATTACCCAAGTGTTTCGGGCAGGACACCCTTTCAGAGTCAATGACTGGCCCCCTCCCACCCTGCTGTTAGCCATGTGGACTCTTCCCCTCCCCAATTTCATACCCCAGTGCACAGGCAGAGAGCGAGGGGCCGGTGGGGCTGTCTTTGTTTGTTTTTTAAAAAGGGTCACCCATACCTGATCAGGCAGACCAGCAGTGCCAGGCTGGAAGCCTCTGTAGGCCCCTCCCCCAGCTACTAACTCTGCCATCATGTCAGGACATGGTGAGGATAACGCCTCCTCCCCCAAATTTCCTACTTTCTTGTATCTAGACATCACACATCTCTGCAGGAGCACTCTCACTGTTCAGATCCCCTCTGGAGTTTCTTAGGCCAGAGCATCCACCAAAGTTTAAAGGATACTGGGAACACCACCCACAATATGTGGTCCATCACTGCCACAACATTCTCCCATCACTGCCCAGGCTGCCCCTCCCTATCTCCCCTCTGCTGGGCCATCTCCTTCCACCCCATCTGGGAGGGTCCCGTTCCTCCTCTCCATCTGCACACTGAGCCCTTTCTCTAAGTGTGCATCAATAGAGAGCTGTCACTTTTCTCTCTCCTCCCAGGGGAATGAGTACTCCCTCCCAGCCCTGACCCCTGGGCTTGATGAAGTCAAGTCGAGTCTATCTGCATCTACCAACCCTGAGCTGGGCAGCAATGTGTCAGGCACACAGACATACCCCGTCGTGACCGGTAAGGAGGCTTCCAGGAGGGTGGGAGCACTCCTTTCAGTGGGGGCACTTCAAGCCCTGCCATCTGGGGACCAGTGTGACAACTGGGCACTCTGCCATGATATCTGCAGTGAGAGAGTGAGTTTGAGCCTCCAAAAACCTAGGGTGCTTCCTGAAACAGATGCGTGCAGATGTGCGGGAAAACATTGTGGCCAGGAGGTATAGCTTCAGCCAGGAAAAGCAGAAATTTGGGAGGTGCTGCTGGTTCTCTCTGCTGTCCTTCTACCTTCCATCTGCCTTTTTTCTTGCCTCTCCCAAGGCACTCAGACTTTTGAGCCTCTCCTTGGGATGTGTACAGAAGAATTCGGAGGACAAATAGGCCAGACTGGCAAGAGTTGATCATAGATTCTCATTATCCAGCCTCCACATTCTTCCCCTGTTCCTAGGCTCTGGGGCAACCTGCTTTCCTCTCTGTCTAGGTAATACAGGCGGCTGTGGCTTTTGGCTTGAGGGCATGGCACCCAGCTCTATGGAGTTAGAGAGAGACATAATGATTATAGCCTTTTCCCTGCTTCCTGGAGAAGTCACTGAGGCCAAGGTTGGTCAGGTAGCCAAGTGGTCAAGGTGGTCAGGTGGTTAACTGCAGGAGAGGGGCACCCTGGCCAGGAGCCCCAAGGAGCTAAAGTAGCTGGAATGGTCCTGCAGGGAAGGGCTGGTGAATGACACTTGGGGCCAAAGAGCTGAAGGCGTATGGCACTGCAGAAGAGTTTCCGGGCCAGGGGAGTGCCCAAGTGGGAGAAATGCACATTGAGGTGTTATTAAAATTCACCTAATTATTCTGGAGACACTAAAGCCAATGTGCCGTTTGTTCCTTGAGAGACAGGATGATTGAGTCTCGGTGGGGATTGGGAGACACTGAGGCGTTACCTGCCCACTGAGTGGAGGTAGCCTGGGAACGCAGCAGAGGGACTGCAGGGAAGTCAGCTCAGAGCAAAGATGGGAAGCAGGCACAGGCCTTCCTGTAGGGCACGATTCTGGTGGTGATTTAGAAATGAGCTGGGCATGGTTCAGGCTCAGATGGGCTTGGAGTAGCCACCCAGCCTCTAGGGGGCTCAAGGGAGCCCTTTTATTAGCTTTCTAAATTTCTCCTGAAGAAATGTCCTGGTACCATTGTGTCTAGTTTTGATGGAGATGCACTCTTTGGCTAGGGGTATAACTACTAAGACTAGAAAGTGCTCCCAAACTGACTGAGCTTATGGGAGCAATAGGCTTACCTGAGTCAAAGTACAGATTAGATCAGCTAGCTCTTGGCACGAGCTTCTGCAGCCCTACTTGGGAATTCTCTAACCTACTTGATCTTCTGACCCAGGGCAGGCCACCTCTCTGGTGCAGTGGTCGCTTCTCAAAGGTGGCCTACACTAGACAACTGACCACAAAAACAGAGTGCACAAAACTTTCCTCTGATCCCAGTGTGCTCCTCTGTGCTCAGGAGCTGTTCAGAAGGCAGGGACTTCCTGGGGCTGGACATGTGGCTTTTCCGGGTAGGGCTTCTGCCTCAGGGCACCCTGGGAATGGTGCAGAAAAGTGCCTCCACCTTGAGCAGCCCCCACTCGCCTCCCCCCCTCCTGTGGCCCTGGAACAGTCCCAACTCAGCCTGGGAACATCTCCGGCTGATCCATCTGGATCCAAGTGTGAGAAAAGTTCATTTCAGACCCAGCTTGACATTCCCAGGTGGCAAGTTAGCACTAACATCTCAATCTGTATGCGACATTTCAATCAAGCGAGGAGTAACAAAAGCAGAACCATTAACATTCGGAGCTGTTCACCAGTGGTAATGACGGGGAAACTCACTCAGAAACTGGAAATTACCAAAAAGAGAGAAGTGTATGGAGGAGTGGGGGAGGGGTGTTGGGGGAGGGGGAGCAGGGAATGATTTTATCCACACTTAGGCCAAGATCCAATGTTTGGATTAATAGTGCCATTACCCAAGAAAGGGATGCCGATTATGCTCATTCTTAAAATGTTTTTTGCTGGCAATTAAACGGCTGCAGCTATTGATCTTTGTTGATTTTATGTCCTCCTAATTTGCATAATCTATTAAAGATGAATGATTCATGATGTGTTTATTATGGGGACAAACAGAATTTGCTGGAGGTACTGTCAAGGTGAGAAATGGGGCATTGCCCAGAGACTTCATGGAGGCTCTCTGGAGTGAGTCCAGTTCAGGTCAGGACTTTGTGGACAGTTATGAGCAGTGTCAAGAACAGCCAGAACAGGTGGACTCTGGGTAAGTTTTAGAGAAGTATCGGTGTCTTTGAGTACTGGGCCCAAGTAGGAGCTAGGGGTGGGAAAGGCTTTTAGTATATTTGCAGGAATTCCTCTCAAATAGTCTTTAAAAAGATTATTTCATTCAAGAATAGTAGGGGACTTGGTAGAGAAAGAAAAAAGCCTTCCTGGTAGGTAAGTATTGTACCAAGTGAATGTTCAAGTAAGAGAGTAGCAAGTTCATGCCGTGCCCAGAACCTGAGTGAGTGTTAAGGAGTCCTCTCCACTTTTCACCTTGCCAGCACCAACTCATCTTCCTCCCTGAAAAGATAAAAGGAGGCTGCAAACTTTTAGGGATGAGCCCTGAGGAAGCTGGCATTATAAGGCCTTGGCCTAATCTGAAAAGCCAGAACTTATTGATATTCCTGCCACCTTCTGGCACTGGAGGCTGATTTCAAACTTCACCAGCCACTTGATGCAGCTGTTCCACAAGGTCAGGACTGAGAGGATGGAGGAGCCTGGACCATTGTGTAGAAGGGCGAGTGGGGCCCAGTGGGCCAGGACACAGCTAATCACATTGCAAGCAACGGTGGTTGCCAGAAGCTAGGACTCAGCCGGTTGCCTCCCCCACTCTCCTTCCACCAAGGAACTAAGGCAAGAGATGGATTTTTTTTTTCTAGGTGGTGTTTGCAAGTTCTGCCGAGATTTTAATTTTACTGCATCACAACTCAGCAAGCTGCCAAGTCAAGCTGGTTATTTAAATTTATCACCCACTCTCGCTTCCGCCACTGGGCTGCTCTAGCTCTGCAGCATCTCTTCTCTCCAGCCCACTGCTCTAGGCTGCTGGTCTGGAACAGAGCCGAGTCTCCCCTAAGTGATAAGGAAAAAGAGACCTGCTAAATGAGAGAATGGGCCGGGGGCACTCTGGCCTCAGGCTTCTTGGGATGGCTGTCTACTGCCACCTTCTTACCTCTATAAAGGATGCCACAGGAGATGGTCACTAACCTCTCAAAGTCCCCAGGCTCTATAGGTGACAGTTAAAACCCTGATTATAACTATCTGCTGGAGCTTGTATTCTCTAAAGTCTCCCATCACTGATAGAAATGACAGCCCCTTTTCTACAAGGCTTGCTTACCTCCCTCCCCCTGGGCCAGGCCTGGGCTAGGCTAGGGGCTACAGTGATAGGAAAGTCTGCAGGGTTCCTGTCAGTCTTGTTAATCTGGGTAAAGAAGAATAAGAACTGGTTTTAGGATCCCTAAAGCCACTGGAGATGGCTTTGGAGCATTCAGAGAGTCCAGTAGCGTAAGGAAGGTCTAGAGAAGAAGAGAGACAAGCTGCCTTCCCTGGAGACCACATGGGTCAAGATGATGGTGAAGGAAGTTAGTGACAGTGCAGCTCCATGTCCAGTCTTGAAGCATGAGGACACACATGTCCCAGGAGCTGCTGCACAGAGCAGGCTTCACTGGCCTCTAGTGGGCATCAGTACCAAGCACTGGGAGAGCCTGTGCGAGTGTAATTCTCACCACTCTCGTTTTAGTTGTAGAGAGGCAGGCTAACCTTAGCAAAACATAGTTGGATAAAATACAGCAACGAATAATATTAATGTAACAGCCAATCCTCACTCTGGTGCCAGAAATAGAGGACAAGTTAATGCCAGATCAGTATGTGAGACACTCCCGGTATCACACCGGAGGTAGATCCTAATGAGGAAAGGTTAAGATTGAAACACATCGAAGAGTCTGAGTCTGGATCAGAGTTCAAATATATACTAGAAGTATATTGTAGGAACCTCAAGTCAAGAGCTCACTTAAGCTTTCATCCAGAACAGATTCCTCCCAAACCTCAGAAAGAACAATAACAAAACATATCTGTAGAGGCATTCAGCAATCCAAAACATAAGGACCACCTATAAGGGAAAGAGCACTGAAGAGTGCTCCATAAAAATTACAGAGCTCGTGTGAAAGCAAGCTATCATGAGCGAGCATAGCAGAAACTACACATAGGACAGTTAACACCTCCAAGCAGAGATCATAGAATTATCCAAATGGGAAGATAAACTAAGCATGTTCAATATTCTAAAAAGATCAAAGTATAAACTGTGTCTATAGCACAGATCCAGATCCCCAGAGCACCTTCCCTTCACACAGCTCAGCAAATTGTCAGATAATGGAGATCAAAAAGGACAAAGAATGAAGACCGTACTTCTAGCTTATTGTCTAGGAGCCACTAAGACTGCTGGGCCTCAGGCAACTGTGAAAGCAGGGCCTATTACCTGCTTATTCAAACTCCTAGATTGCGGAGTTCCAGCAGAGTATCTCACCTTCCCTTTAGAAAAATGTCTCAACACTGGAGAGTTGGGGACCAGGACAGTGCTGCCTCTCCCCTGTGCATGTGGGAAATATATTGACTTCCTCACCTGATAGGGTGAAGTAGATTTTATTCAAGAGATTTAGAGAAATTTCTCTTAATACCTAGAGACTACAGCTTTGAAGGAATCCGTAGTTCAGGTCCAGTGGGTGTTGTCCAAGGCATGGAGAGGGATCAGTAATGCTGGTCTCCCAGAAACTGGCAAGTTTGAGCAGAGGTGGGGAGGCCAGAGGCTGGTAATCCAGAGTTTAAAGCTAAGCAGCAAGGTTGGCTCTGTTGTCCTAGACACCAGGAAGAGCAAATGGATTCAACCTCAGACAGAAGGGACCAACTCAGCAGCTCCAACTCCTGGCTCCACAGGCAGCCAAAATAACCTTTGAGAGGAGAGAG